CAGCAGCAACAGGTGCAGCAGCAGCAGCAGCAGCAGCAGCAGGGAGAGCAGCAGCAGCAAGAGCAGCAGCAGCGCGGTGTCTGTCCAGCTGAAGACCCTTTCAGCAACTTTGGCTCTAATTGCAAATCTTCCCGAGCCCCTTGCCTGCGACCTTAGGGTTTAGGGTTTAGGGTTTAGGGTTTAGGGTTTAGGGCTTCGCCGAGGCCGCAGCAAATGCAGCCCCCCAAACCCAAACCCGAGGGGCCCCCGCCAGGGGCCCCCAAAGCCGCAGCCAAGCCTCCTGGGGGGGCCCCCAAGGGGCCCCCGGGGGCCCCGAAGGGTTCTCCGGGGGCCCCTGGGGGCCCCCCAGGGGCCCCTGGGGGCCCCCCAGGGGCCCCGAAGGGCCCCCAGGGGGCCCCGAAGGGCCCCCAAGGAGCCGCTGCAGGCTTTTCTTCAAAGGTACTGGGGGGGGCCCCCGGGGGGGCCCCCCCGAAGGGGGCCCCCCGGGGGGCCCCCTCTGGGGGCCCCCCCGGGGGGGCCCCCGGGGGGGCCCCCGGGGGCCCCCGTTTGCTGTCGCACGCTGCAGAGTTTGCTGCCATCTTTGAATGCATAGACCGAGACAGAGATGGCCAGATGTCTGTAGAGGACCTTTTAGGGTTTTTAAATGAAGTGCTGCAGCAGCAAAAGTCCCGCGAAGAGGCCCTCGAGCTGCTGGTCGAACTCGTGGGAGAGGGGGCCCCCAGGGCCCCCCGCGACGGCAGGGGGGCCCCCCTCGTTTCGTACCCTGCCTTTCTCGCCTTCATAGAGCGCCAGCTCACAGGGGGCCCCCCGGGGGGCCCCCCCGGGGGGCCCCCAGGGGGCCCCCAGGGGGCCCCCGGGGGGCCCCCCGCGGAGGCCCTGCTGCCGATATTTAACCTTCTGGATGGGGACAAAGACGGGAAAGTGACGGCAGCAGATTTAAATGCTTTTAGCACAAAAGTGGGGATTAGATTGGGAGATGATGGGGCCTCCCATTTGCTAAGTGCTGGGGGGGCCCCCGGGGGTTCTGTAGACTTTAAGGCTTTCTGCAGCCTCGTCCACAAGTGCCTTGCTTCCTAGCTGCTGCTGCTGCTGCTGCTGCTGCTGCTGCTGCTGCTGCTGCTGCTGCGGCGGCGGCGGCGGAGCCGCGCGGCTTGCTGCGCCCGCTGCGTAGGGACGTCGCAGCAGCAGCAGCAAGCGCAGCAGCAGCAAACGCAGCAGCAGCAAATGCAGCAGCAGCAGCAGCAAGCGCAGCAGCAGCAAACGCAGCAGCAGCAAGTGCAGCAGCAGCAGCAGTGGAGAGACAGGCTCTTCTTGAGCCCCAGCAGCTGCTGCTGCGGGGACCTACAAAACAGAGGGGCCCCCCAGGGGCCCCTCTGAGGGGGCCCCCTGGGGGGCCCCCTGAGGGGGCCCCTGGGGTACCCCCTGAGGGGGCCCCCTGGGGGGCCCCCTGAGGGGGCCCCTGGGGTACCCCTTGAGGGGGCCCCCTGGGGGGCCCCCTGAGGGGGCCCCTGGGGTACCCCCTGAGGGGGCCCCCTGGGGGGCCCCCCAGGAGCCCCTGGGGGGCCCCATTGTCCATTGGGGGCCCCTGCTGTCGAGAGGGGGGCCCCCAGAGACCCTGCTTTGGTTTGGGGGCCCCTAGGGGCCCCCCTTAACTGTTTACTTTGGAGGTTCCGTCGTTTGGTGCGCTGCCGCTGCAGTTTAGTTTGCTGCTGCTGCTGCTGCAGCAGCAGCAGCAAAAGCAAGTGTTGCAGATGCTGTCTTAATTGTTGCAGCATCAGCTGCTGCTAGTTCGCGCAGTCTGCCTTCTAAAGGATACGCGCAGCAGCAACTGCTGCTGCAGCTGGCGCTGCTGCTGCAGCTGGCGCTGCTGCTGCAGCTGCTGCAGCCGCTGCCGCCGCAGCTGCTGCTGCTGCTGCTGCTGCTGCTGCTGCTGCTGCTGCGTGCAACTCCCCTTCCCTCTAGAGGGCAGGGGATAGCCATAAAAACGTGTGCAGCAGCAGCTGACGCTGCTGCTGCTGCTACTATTGCACAGTGCGTGTTGCTGCTGCAGCAGCAGCTGCTGCTGCAGCAGCTGCTGCTGCAGCAGCTGCTGCTGCAGCAGCTGCTGCTGCAGCTATTTCGCCGGCATCGGCAGCAGCAGCTGCTGCCACCAGCACCCGAAGAACTAACCCCCAGGGGGCCCCCCTATGGGGGCCCCCAGCCATCTTGGGGGCCCCCCAAGGGGGCCCCTAGCGCAGCAAAACTGCCGTGAGGCTTCTTTGCTGCAGCAGAGGGGGCCCCCACTCGGGGCCTCACACAGGGGCCCCCAAAAGGGCCCGCAGGGCCCCCTTAGGGGGGCCCCTCAGGGGCCCCCGCAGGGGCCCTCAGGGGCCCCCATGGGCCCCCTCAGGGGCCCCCAGGGGCCCCTTCAAGACTGTGGGGTACACCTAGGGGGCCCCCAAGGGGTTTCGGGAGCTATGGGGCCCCCAAAGGGCCACAGGGGCCCCCAAATAGGCTTTAGGGGCCCCCCAACAGGGAAATTGTGCCTTCTTGAGGGGCCCCCTGAGGGGCCCCTTGGGGGGCCCCCATAAAAGTTTTAGGGCCCTTTAAGAGGCCCCCACTGGCCATCCAAGGGGCCTCCAAGGGAGCTTTGGTACCCTATTGGGGCCCCCAAAAGGGCCTTCTAGGGGCCCCTCTAGGGGCCCTTCAGGGGGCCCCTTCTAGGGTTTTGTCATGCACCTGCCTTGCAGAAGTCTCGCCACCTGAGGGGCCCCAGGGGGCCCCCAAGGGGACCCTCTTGGGGCCCCAGGGGGCCCCCCAGGGGCCCCCCCGGGGGGCCCCTCTTGAGGCCCCGGGGGGGCCCCAAGAAGGCCTTAAAGGGCCCACTGAGACCCTCTTGGTGCCCTAAGAGGGCCCCATTGGGGGCCATCTGGGGGCCCCCTGGGGGCCCCCTTGGGGGCTCCCTGCGCACCTAAGGCCCTTTCGGGGGCCCCTAGGGGCCCCCAGGGGCCCCCAATAGGGCCCCTAGAGGCCCTCCTGGGGGCTCCTAGGGCCCCCCGGGGGGCCCTGGGGGCCCCTGGGGGTTCCTGGGGGCCCCTGGGGGCTCCTGAGGGCCCCTGGGGGCCCCTAGGAGCTCCTGAGGGCCCCTGGGGGCCCCTGGGGGCCCCTAGGGGCCCCCGAGGGGCCCCAGGGGCCCCCTGGGGGGCCCCAGGGGGACCCCTGGGGGGCCCCAGGGGGCCCCTGGGGGGCCCCAGGGGGACCCCTGGGGGGCCCCAGGGGGCCCCCTGGGGGGCCCCTAAAGGGCCTCATTGGGAAATTATTTAAATCAAAGGGAAGTCGCAAAGTTGACATTTTCTGCGGGAGCGGTCGTTGCCGTAAGTACACTGGGGGCAGGACACTGCAGCAAAGACACACACAAACTGCTGCTGCTGCTGCTGCTGCTGCTGCTGCTGCTGCTGCTGCTGCTGCGGATGCTGCCGCTGGTCGGGGCGGGCTGCTAAACTGCAGGGATCCACACCTGTGCTGCTGCTGCTGCTGCTGTTCTTGCTGGCTTTTCCGCGGATGTCCACAAGTGTAAGAGGCTTGCGCTGCTGCTGCTGCTGCTGCTGCTGCTGCTGTTGCTGCTGCTGCTGCTGCTGCTGTGGAGTGCCACGTCGCCCGTTGGGGGCCTGGAGGGCTGGAAAAGCGTCTGCTGAGTCCTCCACTTTGTAGCCACTGCTTCTGCTTGTGCTGCTGCTGCTGCTGCTGCCGCTGCTGCTGCTGCTGCTGCTGCTATGGGCGTTATAGTCACTGCTGCTGCTGCTATGGCCGTTGTTGCTGCTGCTGCTTGGGGTGTTGCAGCTGCGGGTACTCCCCATTCCGCCAGCAATGCCGCTGCTGCTGCTGCTGCTGCTGCCGCTGCTGCTGCTGGTGCTGCTGCTACTGCTGCCGCTGCTGCTGCTGCTACTGCTGCCACTGCTGCTGCTGCTGCTGCTGCTGCTACTGCTGCTCAGTGGCTGCAGTGGCGTATTGCAAACAGCGCAGCGAGTTCTCCCCTTTGGATTGGAAAAGGTGCATGCGCTGCAGTTGAGGTCTGAGGGACAGCAGCAGCAGCAGCAGCAGCAGCAGCAGCAGCAGGCGATGCAGCGGCAGCAAGCTACAAGCAGCAGCAGCAGCAAGCCCCAAGACAGCAGCAACAGCAAGCAAAAGCGCAATTGCAGCAGCAGCAAAGTTAGCGCAACAGCACAGCAGCAGCCAAGCAGCAACACGGACTTAAGGGAACAGTATCTTTGCTTCGGCCCCACTGCTGTTGTTGCTGCTGCTGCTGCTGCTGCAGCTGCTGCTGCTGCTGCTTGCGTTGCTGCTGCGGCAGAGACGGAAAATGGTCCTCGCTGGCAGCAACAGGCACGTCAGCTGTGCGACGAGGTGCAGCAGGAGCAGCAGGAGCAGCAGCAGCAGGACTTCTCCGCGTTGCTGCTGCTCGGACCCAGCCTCCCATGTTGCTGCTGCTGCTGCTGCTGCTGCTGCTGCTGCTGTTGCTAGCGCTGTTGCTGCTGCTGCTGCTGCTGCTGGCGGAGAGCGATGGAAAGTCCTCCTCCGCATTGAAGCTGCGGCGATTTTTATTTTGCCTGAATTGAAGGCAGCAGCAGCAGCAGCAGCAGCAGCAGGTGAAGCTGGCAGCAGCAGCAGCAGACGAAAAGAGAAGCAGAGCAGCAGCAACAGAAGGGCGACAGCAGCAGGGCTAGCAGCTGCGCAGCCTGACAGTATCCTCACCAGATGGGGCTGAGGGAAGTCTGCTGCTGCTGTTGCTGCTGCTGCTGCTGCTGCTGCTGTGCGCGCGGCTCAAGGGCAGGAAAGGCCTGAAACATATCTGTAGCAGCAAGCAGCAGCAGCAGCAGCAGCAGCAGCAGCAATAGCAAAAAGACCAGTGGCCCCTTCTCTCTCACGAGCACACGGCACTGCAACGCGAACTACAGCCACAGCAGCAGCAGCAGCAGCAGCAGCAGCAGCAGCAGCAGCAGCAGCAGCAGCAGCAGCAGCAG